TCTCATTTCGTGGTCTTACGACCATTCATTCATTTCTTCCCAAAGTTTCAGCCCTGTAGCTTTTGTAGGTCTTGAAATGAAAAACCGTGACAGACGCACACACAGACATACACAAACAACTCCACTTCAATATGCGTTTTCTCTATTGCACAGATGCAAAACAAGCATAAAATAACTAACCATTGCTACCTAATAAGAGTGTGATTGGGTTATAGACCAGTTTACTTTTTTATGCGTTTTGTGTAACAGCAGTACAAAACGCATATTGTCACGGGTTTGTCTATGTGTGTGTTTTTGTGTGTCCGCAGCAACTTGTCCGCAACTTTCAACTCGGGAACCTCAAAGCTAGGAAGAAGAAAATTTAGGGGAACGTTCCCCGCCTACGTTTGACCCCGAAAATTTAAATTCAGCTTCCCCGTAGCCGCGGGTAACGCGTACGGCCCGGTGAAAGTTTTTTACGGGTAAGTTAATATCTCAGGAAACACGGAGTCTACGGGGCTGAAATTTTAGGGTAATGACCTCCTGCCCATGCTCAACCTTGCGTATTCAAATTCAGCCTTCCCATACCCGCGGGTTGACTTACGGCCCCGTGAAATTTTTTTACGGGTAAGTTAATATCTCGGGAACCACAGAGTCTAGGAGGCTGAAATTTTAGGGCAGTGACCCACTGCCCCCGCTCAACCTTGCCCATTCAAATTCAGCGTTCTCGCGCTCTCGGGTGCCACCTACGGCCTCGTGAAAATTTCGGCAGGGCCTATTCAAATTCAGCGTTCTCGCGCTCTCGGGTACCACCTACGGCCTCGTGAAAATTTTGGCGGGTAAATTATTAACTCGGGAACCACGGAAAGATATTCATCCTTCAAGGTTTCGAATTCAGCTTTCATGCGCTGTAACCGTTTTCCAATGTTTGAACTATTTTCGCATAGACGAAAGTAAAAAGCAGTGAAAGTCATTAATAGGCAATCGTTCGATGGGCTGAATTCCACAAAACGCATGATCGCACCGGCTAGTCTGG